CCGCGGAACCCTTCCCGGGACAAGGAAGAGGAAGAGGAGGAGAAGCCGGGGACCGGCCAGCCGACCGGCGCGAGCCGGGGCGCCGCCAGGTGGGAGCCGCGGGGACGCTGTTCGCTCCGTCTTCCTTTGCTCGGGTTTCTTTCGGTCCCGCCCTGGGTGGATTAGATCTGGCGAAGTTCTTGCTCCCGGCCGGTTCTCCACGCGCGCTTCCTTTCCCGCCGCCATCGGGGCTCGCCGGTCTGTCCCCTCCACTCGGGTCCCCTCTGCACCCCCTCCGCGGGTGCTTTGCCATCTTTAGTTTTTTTCTCGAAGTGATTAGCGAAAGAGTTGTAATAAGAGCTCCTAAGACTTCTTCCCGAATCTGAAGTCGTCGCCAGATTTGTTTACAGTTTAAATGATGCCGCCCTTCCTCGTTCCTATCTCTCACTTGGGACATCTGGCTGAAAGCTCAGATTCGGGGAAGCAGGGCTGAAGATGGCTGAGTGTAATCATTAGTATGTGCCTTCTTTGCATAATCTTTTTTTTCCCCCTCTACCCATGCTGCTTTAAAGATTGACATTTTAAAAGACTCGTCTCATTAAAATGCCCGTTTTTTTTTAATCCCTTCATCCTCCCTGAAGGTAACTCGCTCCTTTCAACTTTTTTTTTTTTTTTTTTTTGAGACATGAGGCCAACTTCGGTTGCACCAGAAGAACCTGTAACCCATGTCCTTGGAAGGTTGCCCTCTAGAGAGCTATATTTACCTAACACTAAAGACTTGGTGATGGACTTCAAAGAAAAAAAAAAATGGATGGGAAGCAACTAGAGTTCTAGTTCCATTACTGTTGAGGGTTTATGATTGCTGTGAGTCCTTTGTGCTCCTTGGTGTTCCTAATTATGAAACATTATCATTCTAATCACCTGTTAGCAAAATACATCTTTCCAAGAAATGGCCAATTCTAATTGACTGGTTATTCTTCCTTGGAAGTTACAGATACTGTTGACCTGGTTGTCGATGGTTTAAGATCCGAGGTTTCACGATCCTTACTGATAGTTTTAAAATCTGGCAAGTCTCACCTGGGATGTGGTTGCTGTCACGGTTGTAACATCTCTAATAACAATCTTCAGTGGTACGAAAGCTCAGAGTGGTGGACTGGAGTGAGCAGGACATTTCCTATCAGCCTTGTCCTGAAATCCTGCCTGCTCCCCTGGCCTGTTTGCCCTTTTAAGGCAGACACTCCTCCATTCTGAACTCTTTCTGCCTGGGGCCGACTAATCTACTGCTAGATCCTCTTCTATGCTTCTCTGACTCTCCTCACCACCCCATAGGCACAGGCTGTGGCTTTTCACAGTGCGATTTTAATTGTTCTTATGCTAGCACTAATTTTGTCCTCATCTTTTTTAGAACTGGCCAGATGTTAAGGGGATTGCAGATAATCCCTGGTGTGGGTGTTTAGCTGTTTTTATATGGGCCTAAATCTTTCTTTTCGCAGATACAAACAAACTCAAAGCCGTTATTGAAAGTGTGATGAAACAAATGGGACCACTCAGTGGTGGCTATCATCATCCCAGTAATAGAAAAACCCTGGTGTTAACAGGATTGGAAACAGAATTGTGATCTGACACTGTGATCCCATTTCAAAATGAAAGGGACATTTTGGTGGTTTCTCTTTGTGGCAGTAAAACCTTTTAGTGTTAGTGGAGAGCAGGGTTCACCTTTTGTAGTAGTGGTTTTAGGGTAGAAGAGTTAGTCCAGTCAATGTGATGTTGATTATTATAGCAAGTAGCCATGTAAAGATAGCTAGGAAAAGGGCTCCCACATAAGAAACAATATTGGCAACCTGTAATTTGTCTAGCAGTTTAAAACTTGGGAAGTGATATTTGGCACAACTTTTGACAAACATGAATGATCACAATCTGTTTTACTGTTAAAGTTTCAAAGAGAGCTGCTCAAACTTACCCAGCTATTTTTCACCTGTGCTCACAACACTGGGACCCCTTTAAGTAGATGACCTATGAACACCTGCCTTTTTTGTTTAAATCTTGGGATGAATTTTTTTTTTTTTTTTTTAATTCTGGCTTTCCTCGAATAGGCTCCCCTCCTGCCAGAACTCATTGTGTTGGCTTACGATTGTTTTATTACTCGGCTTGCTCATGCCCAAATACAAAACAGGATACTCAACTTCTTAAGAACAGAACCCCTTAGCAGTTTAAGAGAATTAAGATGAAACATAAGTATTAACAAGACTGATGAAAGGGCCATTTATGACATCCTCTCCCTCCACAGATGTTTGCTCCCTACCAGTGAAAACAAAGGCCAAAGGGATAAGTTGGGGTAAACACTGGGTCTTTGGAGGTTGCCAGTGCTCTATGATGATGTCCTTCATATTATTGTAGTTCTTTACTGCTTGCTTTTTGGAGTGTAAGGCAACCTTTGTTTTCAGTGTGCTGTGTGTTCCTTGCTTGGGCTTCACCTGGTGTGAACACATCATTTATTGAGTGCTTTATTGCTGCTACTGTGTTCTCCATGAACCATCAGCAATCAAAGAAGGTTAAGGATCACCTTTTGTTGAGTATTTAATGTGTAAGTCAATCAGATCCTGGAAGTGCTTACGCCAGGATAGATTATGTAGAAATGAAAGCTGCAATTAAAAGTTTTCACAGGAAACTCTCAAGAACTCGAAGAATAGGTCAGGCGGTGAAGGCACACACCTTTAATCCCAGCACTTGGGAGGCAGAGTCAGGCGGATCTCCAAGTTCGAAGCCAGCCTGGTCTAGAGAGCAAGTTTCAGGACAGTCAGAGATATAGAGAAACCCTGTTTCGAAAAACCAAGCCTAACCAAACCAAAATCCTCCCAGATTTTAATGTCTCATTTTGAGTTGTCAATATATTGTTCAGCCCAGTTGATTAGCACTTGAAGCCAGACTCCTTAGAAGAGACGAGAGGAGTCCAGTAGGGGCCTTATGGTGTACAGGTGACTTTAAATGGCTCTCTGAGTCGTGGATGTTTCTGTTGGTAGAAAACTTGGGAGAAATAGGAACAGGTATGGCAGGTGGTACACGAGGCCTGTAGGAATTTAAGGTCTGTTAAGGAGATACACGTTGATGTGGGGGGTGGGGGAGGAGAGAGGGAGATATATCCAGAAAACAAGGTTGGAATTGAGTCATTAAGTCTCTAGAGAGAATGGTTGACTCTTCACTGGGAGGTTTTATTTTTTTATTTTTTTTAAATGGCTCTGTTAAATGGATATGGTTAGAATGTGAAACTTAGTAGGTGAACCCCTGCCTTATTTGCTCTGCTTTGTGAAAATGCACAACCAACCTTCTTTCTTGCTGTGTCACATGATGGACCTGTATAAACAGGGCTCCATGCAATATCCATACGTCAAAAGGGAGCTCACACAGTGAGAAGAACATTTCTCAAGGGCTAACTGTTCACTTACCCTGAGCAGAGAGCTTGCTTTAGTGTCTCATTTACGCGGTACCACGGGCTAAAGGGGTGCTACACTTACTTAGAGGCCTCTTACAGTTTTGAAGACAGTGAGGATGAGGCAGTGCCTAACAGTAGGTCCTACTTGCATCTGGGTGTAACAGTTCTTTAAACGGACTCTCCTGTCCCACTGCAGGACATCTGATGCCCATGATGTCCACCTACCAATTGCCAGTAGCATCTGTGTCATTTGGCTAACTCCGAACACCTTCACCTTCAGGCAGGTGAATGGGAGGGATTGTGGTAACACTTTCAGGTGAGACTGATTTGCATGTGATCACAGGGGAGTAAGACTCAAGGGTAAGGATTGAATTTAGGTCTTTGACTTAATTGCTGTGGTTCATTAAACACCATTTTCTCTTCCAACCTTCAAAAATCATACCTTTTCAGCAGATATTAAAAACTGGGTTTGGCCGGGCGGTTGTGGTGCATGCCTTTTGTCCCAGCACTCAAAGAGGTAGAGGCAAGAGGATCTCTGAGGCCAGCCTGATTTACAGAGTGACTTCCAAAACAGCCAGAGCTGCACAGACAAACCCTGTCTCGAGGAGTTGGAGTGAAGGGAAGCTGGGTATGTTGGATCATTCCTGTGGTCCTGTCATTCCAGAGGCTGAGGCAGGAGGACTGACTGCTTCAAATCCAAGTCTTGAGTTCCATAATGAGTTTTAGATCATTCTGGACTATAGTGTGAGAGACCCTATCTCACAAACAAACACATATACATTTGACTAAAGAAGCCCTTTGTTTCAGAGTGGGCACTGTGACTTTGATTTTCAGTGAACTGTTAGGAGTATCAGAATAGAAGAGGGGAAGACAGGCTCCCTAAAGTCAAGATCAGGGCTTGGGTCAGTTAAAGAGTGAATCTGTGCTGTTGGTTAGAGCATTAACCAGGTCATCTAGTGATTTCCAGGTAGGGGCAGTACTTTACTCACCAAGTGGGTTTATGAAATGTAGCTGGAGGGTGTTTGTACCTGTCATCACAGCTGAAGGTGTTGAGTGACAGAGGTCAGGAAGCTAATGGACTGTAGAGCAGGAGATAGGATTGAAAAGAAAAAGAAAAAGTATTCTGATGACCAGGCTGAGAGTTCTTGGCCTTCTGGTTAAGCTAGGATAAATAAGGACACGCCTGTGCCATGCCAGGAGTTCATACACGAAGTAGTAAAAATGCCTAGCAAATTCTAGAAGCCCTCAGAGGTGTTTCTGCCAGGTTAACTTGGAACATGGAACTTACTCTTGGCAGCAGGGAAGAAATGGTAAGCTGTTTTACAGTTCAAGACTCTACCTTTTGTAAGTGAGGATCTCTTCCCCCACCCCGTTTCATAGGATGCCTGTGGGATCGATCATTTGTGAATTCTTGCTGTGGGGGTCCTTGGAAAAGAATTCAGTTGTGTAATACTGGAATTGTAATCAGAACGCCCGCCTTTATTGAGCCATGGATGTTTTTAGCATTTTTTTATTCATCAGTGGAAAATAAAAAGAATAATGACAGTTTGAAAAGCAGAAAACAATCCCTCAAAGTATTCCATTCCCTATTTGAGTGGAAGCTCAGCTATGTTAGAAATGCTAAAGGATACAGTGGTGGCAGGGAAGCTAGGTTGGTATAAATTCAAGCCAGGGGCTCCA